CCGGGTCAGGCAATCAGCATTGGTATTCTCCTTCTCGGCTTGGTGCTGTACAGTAAAGGCATACTGCTACAGGATAAGGTACCTCGCATCAACTTGGCGTTGGCGTTCCTCATATTGTGTAGCCACTTGAGGGCTGCATGGACCATAATTAGTGTGAACGAGTCCCCTAGGACTGCCCATTTAATGGCCAGGGCCTCCTTCTAGATGACGGAATAGTTCTGCTCCCTAGGAAAGAGTTTTCAGCTAATGTAAAGGATGGGATGTTCCTCCCCATCCATGTCTTGTGAAAGGACCACTGACTTCCGAAACGTCCGTTTCAACAAAGGGTCAGCTGAAGTTGGGGCTGAATAGGACAGGTTCCCGGCACAATGCGTCCTTCAGGGTCTGGAAGGCTTCATAAGAACATAAGAATGACCATACTTTTTCCATACCAGTCATGATTTTATAGACCCCTTAGCCTCCTCTTTTCTAAGCTAAAAAGTCCAAGTCTTTTTAATCTCTCTTCATATGGTTCGTCACACTTTAGTCTTAACTACCTTGAGCAGATTGGTATCATCTGCATATTTTGCTACCTCACTGCTTACCCCTTTCTCTAAGTTATTTATAAATAAGTTGAATAGGATTGGTCCCAGGACAGACCCTTGGGGGATCCCAGTAGTTACCTCTCTCCATGCAGCAAACTTACCATTTATAGTTATCAGTCCACGAAAGGACCTTTCCTCTATCCCATGACAACATACTTTACTTAACAGCCTTTGGTGAGGGACCTTGTCAAAGGCTTCCTAGAAATCTAAGTATACTATATCCACTGGATCCCCTTTGACCACCTGTTTGTTGACCCCCTCAAAGAACTCGAGCAGATTAGTAAGGCATGGTTTCCCTTTACAGAAACCATGTTGACTTTCCCCCAACAAATTATATTCATCCACATGTCTTACAATTTTATTCTTCACTATAGTTTCAACTAATTTGCCCAGTACTGACGTTAGACATACCAGTCTGTAATTGTCAGGATCACCTCTAGAGCCCTTTTAAAATATTGGCGTCACATTAGCTATCTACCAATCATTAGGTACGGAAGCTGATTTAAAGGATATGTTACAAACCACAGTTAATAGTTCCGCAATTTCCCATTTGAGTTCTTTCACAACTCTTCGATAAATGCCATCTGGTCCTGGTGACTTGTTACTCTTAAGTTTTTCAATTTGTTCCAAAACCCCCTCTAATGACACCTCAATCTGGGACAATTCCTCAGATTTGTCTCCTAAACAGAATGGCTCAGGTTTGGGAATCTTCCTTGTATTCCAATGACCTCCGTACTTGTTGCAGGCTATTTTTGGTTAACAGCCCCATAGAGGGCGCCGCGATGGCCACAAACTGGGGCACAAAGCAATAGTAGTAGCTGACCAGTCCCAGGAATTGACGTACCTTACGCTTTGTGGTGGGTATGGGGTACTCCTGAATCGCCTCTACTTTACTTATGAAGGGGCACACCAATCCTTGCCCCAACTGGTACCTCAGGTAGGTTGTCTCCTGCCATCCAATATGGAATTTCTTAAGATTGGTTGCAGTGCCAGCATCCCAGAGTGTTTGCAGGATGGCCGTCACTTGCAGTAAATGTTCCTCCCAGTCTCGCCTGTAGATCACCACATCATCTATATAAGCTGGTGCATACGCTGCATGGGGACTTAGTAAACTGGTCCATCATCATCTGGAAAGTGGCAGGGCCCCATGAAGGCCAAAAGACATTCGGATGAAATGAAATAGGCCTGAAGGGGTGGAGAACACCATCTTCTCCCAGGACTCTTGATTCAAAGGGATCTGTCAATACCCTTTGGACAGGTCCAGGGTGGTCAGATATTGCACCAAGGCTTTGGTTATGCATCAAACTTTGATATCGCATTGACCTTGCAGAAGTCGATGCAGAAGTGTATACTACCGTCCGGCTTTGGAACATGAACCAGAGGGCTCCTCCACTTGCTGGTCGATCTCTCAATCACCCCTAGGTGCACCATAGTCTGGACCTCGTGGTCCATGGTCTCCCTCATTCATCTTGGTAGGGGATGGGTCCCTTCTAGCACTCTCTGGATGGGAGATGTTTGAATGGAGTGAGTTATCACCGTCGTTCAGCTAGGGAAGGTGGCAAAGGTGTTCTTAAAGGTTTCTATCAATTTTTGAGCCTGCTTCCGCTGGCTGTCAGACAATGTGTTTCCCAGCAGTGGTCCTTCCTCCTCAGTTAATTCCGATACCTGGGGTCCCAGTGCCGGTTCTGGAGCATAGGGCTTAATGAGTAACCCTTCCCAGGATTGCCATGGTTTCAGGAGGTTGCAATGATATACTTGCCACTTCTTTTTTCAATCAGGCTGATGGACCTCATACATGACTGGGCCCACTTGATGGACCTGCCATCAGGCCATGATTTGTGACTCCTCCGAGGGGAGTAGAAGAAGTACCTGGTCCCCCAGCTCAAAGGCCTTTTCCCAGGTCTTCTGGTTGTAGTACCTTTCCTGGGTCCCCTGGGCACCCTGAAGTTTTTCTCGAGCCAAAGCTCCAGCTCAGTCCAGGCGCTCTTGGAATTGTAACACATTACTGAAGCAGGCCTTTAGGGAGGGGGTATTTTCCCAGACCTCTCACATCAAATCAAGCACCCCATGGGGCTAACACCCATAGAGGAGCTCGAAGGGTGAAAAATGGTGGGAGGCTTGGGGCACCTTGCGGATAGCCAGTAACAAAGGTGGGAGGAGTTGGTCTCAGTGCTGCATATCGGTAGGAGGAAACTTCCTCAACATCCCCTTTAAAGTTTGATTAAACCACTCGACCAACCCATCAGTCTGGGGGTGGTAGACTGATGTCTGTAACTTCTGGACACCCAACAGGGTGCACACTAGTCAAAGAAGCCGGGAGGTAAAATTGGTTCCCTGGTCGGTCAGTAACTCCCGGGGAAGTCCCACTCAGGCAAAAATTTTCTCCAGCTTTGAAGTGATGGTCTGCACTCCAGTATTTCAGAGCAGAATGGCCTCAAGAAACCAGGTTGTGTAGTCCACCAGGACCAGAATATATCGATACCATGCTTTGCTTCACAGTAGCGGCCCCATTAAGTCAAGGGCCACCTGCTCAAAGGGGATCCCCCCAATGGGAAAGGGGACCAGTGGTGCTTCCGCAGCCAGCTGACATTCGGGGCAGGAGCAGAAGTAGTCCCTCACCTCTTGATAAATTCCAGGCCAATAAAAGCATGCGAGGATTCAAGCCAAGGTCTTATCTTACCCCAGATGACCAGCCATGGGGATGTCGTGAGCTAGCTTTAAAACCACCCTCCAGTGACGATGAGGGACCAGTAGAGGGAAGCAAGCCTCCTGCATCTGTGGATCTTGAGACATTTGGAAAAGACAGTCTGCTACTGACTTGAAATGGGGCCATAGCTCATGGTTTTGAGGACTCATCACTACTCCATTAATATGAGTTATCTGGTCGTAGGCAAACTGCAGAGTTGGGTCATCTCGCTGGTCTTGGGGGCAGTTGCCCAGGCTGTCCGTACCCAGTTCCTCCCCAGGGGCAGAAATTCCTCTGGTCTTTCTATCATGGAGGACCCCTCTTCAGCTTCCCTGTGAGGTTCCTTAATCTGGGGGCTGGCAGAGTCCCTCCCAGGGGGCTCTCCCTCCTGGACCACCAAAGGGGCCAGACTTCAGAGGCTGGTCACTCAGAGAAACTCATTGAACCCAGGCCAGTCCTGACCTAGAATGATGTAGTAAGCCAAGGTGAGGGCCACCCTACTGCCATCTCCTCAGTGACTCCGTTTACTGTTAAAGCCACTAGGGTAAGTCTTTACACTGGGGTAAGTCTTTACATCCCCATGGATACACTGGAGTCTGAGCTCTCTGACCACCTCCATAGGGTCCGGGATAACCCCTCTTTTTACAAGTGTTTGGATGCAGCCTGAGTCAAGAAGGACAATAACCTCCTGGAGGCCCAGTTCTATGGTATTCAAGTTTGGGTGGGCCGGGTGGGCAGGCATGGACCTCTGCCATACAAACCTGGCCAAAGTTATCATCCTCCTGGGCTTTTGACTCTCCTGGACGTGTGGCATCTCTCCCCCCTCCTTGTTCCCCAAATTTCAGGAACCCCATGGCCCTCTCGTCGGCCCTCCTTCTGGGTCTTGGGATTGGCTGGGAGTTCTATGGTATTCAAGTTTGGGTGGGCCGGGTGGGCAGGCATGGACCTCTGCCATACAAACCTGGCCAAAGTTATCATCCTCCTGGGCTTTTGACTCTCCTGGACGTGTGGCATCTCTCCCCCCTCCTTGTTCCCCAAATTTCAGGAACCCCATGGCCCTCTCGTCGGCCCTCCTTCTGGGTCTTGGGATTGGCTGGGGGCCCCG